AGGAAGCCTCCAGGCTGAAATGCAGGTGAAGGTGACCTTGGAGTGGAGGGCAGGGACGCAAGCAGTCTGGGGCACGAAGGCTTTGGACAAACAGCAGTGGCATAGTAGGGAAAAGACTGGGATCAGGTAAGAAGACAGATTGGGAGGTGAAAAGCAGAGCTGGATGCTGAAGGACCACAGCAGGAGGAATCTGACTCAAATACGCTGTGGTGAGGGAGATGACATTGGTGTGCAGGGTCCTGTGGGCTTTCAGTGGAGAGCATGGTTGACATTTTTAGATAAGACGACTAGAAAAAGACTGAAGGAGGGAGAGATCATTATTCTGCCTCTCAGCAAATCTTTGCAAACACAAAGCAAGCGTTTCCTAGGTGCTCATGAAAGGAGCGTTGCCTCCATGTGTAAAGCCAGCCTGCTTGCCTGGAGCCTGATCTGCAGCAAGGCTGAGCACCCAGAGTTGCAAGGCAGTCGTGAGTGCTGTGCTCACTTCTTATAAAGCACTACCCAGGGCAAAAAGCCAGTCCTGGACAACTCTAATTGAGCACCCACAGGAGGACATAATTTCCCCCCGCTGCTTTCTCTGCACCTCATCCACCAGTGGACTAGAAAGACAACACATCTGCAGGATTTTTCATGTATCAGCAGCTTTTTCATTAATACTTTTAAGGAAAAATGCATGGAAATGACAGTATTTGCTTAATATTTTCTAGCTGTTCAGTAAAACACAGTCCTGTACCTTGAGGTGGCAAAGAGAATAAAGGCAATGAGGCATAGATGACTGAGAAAGCATTTAAGATCAGTGGTGAAGTGGAGACGACTGGTTGGAACTGGATAAATTTCTAAGACACAGACACATACCTGAGGAAGTTTGATGTCATTGATATCCCAGCTTGTAATTTCTCCATGTTGGGAAGCAGAGTCCTCCTGCTCCAGAACAACATCATCAGCACTTTTCAGCATTTTTTAATTCCTTCCCAAAGTCAGCGAGAAAGTTTCTCCTGGCTGATTTTGAAGTTGACTGGCTGTCAGCACTCTCAAGCAGTTTACAACCAGGAAGCTGTTTCCTGAAGCTAAATGATAGAGAGGCTGCTCATTAAAGATAAAAATCAGTGTTCTTCTGCCAGAAAAACTTGTTCCATTAAAGTTTTGCAAGCCAGCAATGCAGTGGAAAATATAGCTTAGAGATAGCCTGTGATGTTACAGAGGCATTGTTAACAGTGAGAAACCATGCCTTTGCCATCTGTTTTGTTTTGCTCAGTCTCCTCTCACACCAAGTTTATAGTCATGTAACTCTGCTTGCAGGATCTTTGTACATCTGACCCGACTCTGGCTCCATATTTCCAGAGCCAAACTGATCGGACAGCTCAGCGGCTGCTAAGGGCTCTTTGAGTCGCTGCTTACCCATTAGATACTTCACACGCTGCACACGACAAAGGTGAGCAACAAGAGGGGACTGCTATATCATTTCAGATGAAATGGTGCTCAACCATTTAAAAAATTGTCAGCATCTCTGAGAGCTTACCAATTGCGTGAGGGAAGTGTAGAAAAGGAGGACGGGCTACCTGTATTTTCCTGTCATCTCAACAGCAGACAGAAGTAAAAAAACCTACCCAAGGTATGTTTGTTAAAACCAACAGTTTTTGCCTGAAATCTTGTAAAGCAGAAGATTGCCCTACTCTGAATTTCAGTACAAGCCAAGCTTAATACCGTATTCTCAGGGATCCCGCACGTCAAAAAGTTTCGGGGTTTGTTTCCTTTGGCAAGGAGAGTAAAGGCGAATCAGAAAATGAACAGACCAGTTTTGTCTTTATGGAAACTGGGAAAGCTTCAATGATTTTGGGAAGGTCACTGTAACTTATGACAATTAAGGATTTGTTAAAGACTACTGAGTAGTGGGAGAAGTAAAATCTATTTGATGCAATTCTGTTTCATAGACTTTATTAAGCATAATTTATTTTACTCTTATTTCTGGCACTGCATATGCATGGCTCTTGGAAAGTGAATCAGTCTTCATATCCTTGCTTTACCCATTTATAAAATACCTGTGATCTTAATTTCTCATGTTATATTATCATCTTTAAAGTAAGAGTTTGTGGATATTTGCAGAGCACTTGAGACATTTCACAGTCTGGTGCTCTGGCAGTGTAGCCAGAGCCCCACTGCCCAACTTCGTGGCTCAGGCTGTGGCGATGGGGCAGAAAGAAGGCTATGGCAGAGCATCCCCACTGGAAGAAGATTCCACAGAGGGCTTCCTGGTAGTCAGCACCAGTGCACTCAGGAGTTTGCACTGAGGCTTGTTCTTGGAGGGCAGCTAACCCATCGCAGGTTCAAATAAGATGTTAGACCAGAGGAGAAGGGAACATCACTGCTCAGAAATACAAGCAGCTGTAAGGAACATCAGGTCTTCACATATTTTCATATTGAGCTACAATGAAGATGGAGATAGTAAAGTCAGGACAAACAAAATATGAGCTGCATTGGAAAACTGAGTTGAATTTACTGAACAAACGACCCTTGGCTATTGTGTGCTCTAAAACATTAAGTGTTTTGTTATATAATTCAAAATTATAGTCTTGTTGCTTTTAAAATTGCTTTTCAAAATGAGATGGCTTAGAAACTGATTTTTATTTGCCTTATTATTTGAGAAAATTGAATATTTCTTCTTTTATGTTACGTTGATAGAGATAAAACAGTAATTAAATATTGCCTTAAACTTTAATGAAAGACAGATAATTTTGTAATAATATGCACCAAAAAAAATGAAGTTACAGAGAATCATACATATTCAGCTACTTGCAGACAAAGGCTAAAATAGCAGAAATAACTTTGAGCAATAATTACAGGATCATGTGGCATATTAGATTTCTAATTGTTACTTGTGTTACTTTAATTATTCCTAAAGTGTAGCAGCTTTACGAATTGGCAGTTCTGAAATATTTTTTTCTTTATTTTTCCTCTCCTCTCCTCTCCTCTCCTCTCCTCTCCTCTCCTCTCCTTCATTCCATTCTCTTCTGCAGAACAAACTGTTCTGCTCCTCCTAGATAAAAAGTCAAATTTTAGATGTCAACACTGAATTATTTTGATTTGGAAAAACACATGTAGAGAAAAATGGGAATTACTATATTAAGAAGGAGCGATGTAAGAAGCACCTCTGGCACTGGAATGTGGTGGAATTCATTGTGTTTGAAAAACAGTGAAAGTAATCTAGTTCTCCTGCCCTTTGGTTTATTTTTGTTTTCTTATTCCATGTAAATGCTCATTGATACTGAAGGTAAACAGCAGGATGTAGCAAGGTTCTGGTTTTGGTGCAATGTTTAATGTATCTCTTGATGATCCGGAAGTGAAGAAAACAGGAAGGGGGAAAAAAATGCACAGATTACAAAAATGTATCTGGATTAATCCTTTAGAAGAATTTACTTTTATTTCACCCTGACAAAATAATTCATGTTTAGAAGGGTAATATTTAAACTATTTATTTATCTTACAGAACTACTCTCAATTAACTTGTGGAAGTGACCCAGGGATCCATATGGGCAGTTCCACAAACACAAGGTGTCAGACAAAAAGCGATCAAGCTGTTGGTATATAGAAAGACTGCAGTGAAGAGCCATACAATAAAATATGGTATTACCAATTCACAGACTGTCATGGACTTTTCACTTACGATACCGTGCAAAAATACCAGTCCGTCCCAGAAAGAGAAAGGGCTCAGGGCATAGCAAATAAAAAATAGCTGGAATTGTTCACCCTAGAAAATAGACGTATAAGCAAGGGCACTATAAAAATGACCTAAAATACAGAAGGATGTGGAGGAATCAGGAGATGCTTCTCATTTAACTGCCCAAGAGCCCAGGAGCACAGCATGAAAACAATAGGCTAATTCAAACATAAGGTGAAGAAGTGCATTTTTCTTTCACTACTAGTATCAGTTTGTCTAATGAAAGCTATTTCCTCTCCCTACAAGCCTTGCCCCACTTATTTCTTTAGACTTTCATGCTACAGCATTACTACTAGTATTGTTGAGTATGTCATAAAAGTTGAACACTAGGCAAGACAGAAAAAGAGATCAGAAATGTAGGAACAAAATAATATTGGAAGATCTGCTGTGTAATACTTCTATCTGATAATGTCTGTTAAATACATTTAGAAAGAGATATTAAGTCTCATATTTTATGACTTATGGAAATTTTTAACTAGCAAGGATTAGGAAAGTTTCTTCTATTTTCCTTAGAAGTACTTCATGTTGACCACTTAGGAAAAGGATTATGAATTTTTAAAAGAGATTATGTGTAATACTGATTTACGTGAGCCTACAGGTTAAATTAATTCAATGTAATTTGCAAACTTTTATCTGGAAGGACAGTCCTACAGAACGTTAACCACAGGTAGATCTCAGGAGTTCTTCAGCAGTTGTCTATAACAAGAAGTCATGGACCAGAAAAAGCCCTGGAGCCCTAAAAAGCTTCTTGCGTTCAGGCTCATGCGCTGGAGAGGGCTGTGCAACCCTGCGAGGGCAGCGCCTGGGGAAAGCAGCTGTCGCTGCAGAGGTTGCCCACCGCTGTGTTTGGCCTCCAGGCTCTGCTGAAGGGCGGTAGCTGTGGCAGGAACGAGTGGATGAGGCTGTTACAGAGTGGTCACCAGATCAGGCTCCTTTCTTGTATTGTTTTACCACCACACGACGAAGTGCCTTTGTCAGTGCTCCCATCAGTCTTCCTTTTTCTCTTTGATGTCATCTTTCAGTGATGACAACCTTTGACTGGTTTCAGGCACAGTCAGTGGCCCTTTGCATGAGCTGAGTTACCTGTCTTGCCAACAGCATGTCTTCCACAGCTGCCTTTGTGCCTTGCCTTCAAGTGCATGGTTTTCCCCTGACACTGAAAGGTTCTCCCTGCTGATGGGAGCTTGCCTGCCTCTCCTCCACTGCAGGTGTGGCCCTTGCATGCCTCTCCTCTTTCTTCAAATGTCCCCTGTTTGTTACTGGAGAGTTTCATGGTGCTGCATCACAGGAACCAAGGAACATGCATGTTTGCATGACAACTCTATTATACCAAGGTGCTACTGGTACACCTTGTGGAATATTTCTCCAGATTGGCCTGACAATTTTCTTTTCTTTTTTCAAACGCATTCTATACACTTGAAAATAACAATTTAATCTTCCAGTTCAGCCTTGCTATTTGATGAGCTGTAGCAGCTGGATGAAGTAATATGATTAAACTCCCAGATGTGGAGCATAAACTCACTACAAATAGACATGTAATTTGTAATGAGAAGACAGTTTCGGCCTGTGCAAAAGTGTACTGGGAATGCTGCTTATTTTCTGGAGACAAGCTTTTGTTCCCAGATGGCCCTGATGTATCCTCAAGTTGGCTGCCTCTGTATTCAACATCATTTGAAATCCTTATGCTGTCTTTAGCATTTAGTATCCAAAAGTGAAAACTTCTCCCCTGTGGTCTGGCTCTTTGAAAGAAAGAGATGTATTTTGAGACAGAAGTATTTTTAAATCCTTGGTTCATTTTTTTTGTCCTTTGTTTCTCTTAAATTCTTTTCTTGAAACTGGTCTTGTTGATGCCCTTGATATCAGAACTGTCTGATGATCTCCTATTTTTGCTCAGTTGCCATATTTCTGAATTCTGGAATGCGCTGGGTAAGAAGTCAGTTGTAGGTTGTGTAGCAAAGCTTCTAGCTTTGCTGCTTCAGTCTCACTGAGCACTTATTTTTTTTTTTTATTTAAAAGTTTAATTTTCTACTGCTGTCCAGACATCCTTTTTCTAGAAGTGCTATCTGAAATGACATATTCTGCAGCGTTCTCTGACGGTCATATCATATAAGATGGGCATGTCTACTCCATAGATTATAAACCAGACAGATTAGCCTGGAATTCACTTCAGAGCTCAAACACTGATAATTGTCTTGGACTCTTTTTTTGCCACACTACAAATACGCAGTTTGCATCACTTTTGTCTTCATGGGGCTAGGTCACTACTCAGTACAGGCTCTTGGAATGGCTTTGTCAGACTGCTCGGGAGGTACTGTGTGTTGTCTGCCTGTATTGGACAGAA